TTGAGCCATCGTCGTTGATTTTCGCATAACATCTGGTTAACCCTTAATTAAAATTTTAAATAAACGTGGAGGCCCGGTGGTGAAGGTTAAGCAGTCTATTTATATTAAGCCGTCAGAATTTTAACCAAAGACCTAGTTTCAAGAAGTGAGTTTTTAAGAGAACATTTCAATTTCGAATATAATCGAAAACTAAGATTATGTCAATACCTGCAGACAATTCTGACTATTGTGCATCGATTTAAATTAAAAACTTAATATAATATAGAGTTTTGATATTATTTAAAACTTGAAAGACAAACAAAATTTTCAATTAACACATTATGATTTCTGCAAAGGAGATTGATTAAAAATGTATCCTACTTATGTAATTCAGGGTACAAGACCCAGGGTAAAGTAGGTGGTTCCTAATAAGGTCAAGCAATTTCGGAAGCAAGTTGTTTGGAAGAGGGTTTTGCAGAGGCGCCAAAAAAAAAGACAAGGGCTAGTAATAGATTTAACTTATTTTGTAGAACTTTATAAAGTTATGCAATGCACCAGACATTATTTTATTAATTAAATATATTTTACTAGCTTTTCGTTCGCGGCTTCGCTCAGGTGAAGCACTTAAATAAATATCTTTCATTAAAAAAAATCTAAATAAAAATAGCCTGTGTCCTTTTTCAGGCTCTAGATTATCGCTGTACCAAATTTCATTTTATGTGAAAGCGAGACAGACAGACAGAGTTACTTTGGCATTAATAATATTAAGTATGGAAGTATGGATTTAAGTCAGCTCGTGCAATACATATTTACATAGCAGTTCAAAGACGAAAACAACATTTTATAAATTCTCTTTAATTTAAAAAGCTCTCTGTTCTGGACTATTGTATACAAAAGTTGATTCTTTGTTATCTTATTTTATACTTTACATTATTAATTAAGCTAAACTTAACTCAACTCACATGTATTTAAACGGTTTTATTTAGCTCGACCCGTACGGAATTTATTTGTTTATTTGGGTCAAAATTGAGCCGTGATAGCTCAGTGTCCGGGCGCTCGCCTTTAATTCAATATACTCGAGCAACCTGAGTTCGATCCCCGGTGCCGGCACCAATGAAGTTTTTTAACTTTAAGTGCTGACTTATCACGTGCTCCGCGGTGAAGGAAAACATAATAACAAAAAATATTTCGAAGATATGTGAAGTCCGCCAATCCGCAGTGGGGCCGCGTGGTGGACTATGCCCTGATACCCTCTGTATAGAGGAGGCCTTTGCCCAGCAGTGGGACATGTATAGGCTATTACTTTACTTTTTTTGGGTCAAAATTAGAAATTGAAATTTAAGCACCTTCCCGTTGTCAGGTTGATCTGAAATTGGTTCACACATTTAATTTAGATGACAATACAATATTCTAGTTTTCAGTGCACATAAAATAAAACCGTTTAACTTAAAAGTTTTTAAACGGTTTTATTTTATTAACTATGCTCAGTTAACTTTGGTAAATCTGTCACCAGACTGTATCTCATGAACCGTGATAGACAGTTAAAATTTTCACGATGATGTATTTCTGTTGCCGCTATAACAACAAATACTAATAAATGGAAAAATAATATTTTAGTGGGGCTGCCATACAAAAGGCCTGGTTTTTTTGCCGTTTTTATTGATAATGGTACGGAACCCTCCGTGCGTGAGTCCTACTCAAACTTGGCCAGCTTTTTGAGAATATTAAGTGATATTTTAAAAATATCAATATAGCTAACTCATTGAGCGACTTAGATATTATTGCAAATAAATCACTACTACAATGAATGAAGAGCATCAAAGTGTCAATTGTTGATTCTTTTATTTTGTTCCAGTTCGATAAATTCATTCACTACCCATTTGACACTTAGCTGTAACTTTGGCTTTTGTGTTTCCAAAGTTCGCTCTTAGAAGGGAATGAAAGAACATTTGAACATTTTCTTGGACATTTATATTAATTTCAACTGGCAGAATAATTTGAGTGACTTATTTATTATTGTTTTTTATATACACACTCGACGAACGGGAGTTGTTATCCAGGTTCCGGCAACATAATTATGTAATAAGAGTTGATTTATCAAATACCTAAATTTCACGTATTTGACGAGAAATAAATTCTTGAAATGAATGATGATTCAGTAAATGATTCAAGCTCATTCCACAGAAAATTCATTTTGAAAAACCGATATGATGTTTTGACTTCAGCCTGAACAATCTCAAACAAAACAAAAGAAATATCTGTACATATTTATTCTGAATAATTAAATTATTAATGAAGTTTTATTAATTTTAATCAATCCCTTTAACTCACTGTCAACGTTAGTGAAGTGTTACCATTCAAGGATCGGAAAAAATACATACAGACCGTAGAACCTTCACGTTTTGAAGTTAAAAAGGTAAACCATAAATTTATTTACCATGATCAGTGACAAGGCAAATCAGAATAATTTAACGTCTAAAAGTAAAAATAACATTTCCAGTAACATTTTCCAAAATAATCTTTGTTCAGTGTATTACTTTAACTACAAAAAATCAAAATGACATTTGATGGTGATTTACGTTTTAAACAGAAAATGTTATTGAATGTCATATGTGACAAATGATGTTGACATTATCGGTTATATCTTAATATTTAGTGTCTAGTTGTTTTGTGTTCTGCCCTGATCCACTAGCCCACTGCCAACCATTAAGTGTACATTTGATCTTACTATTGATTTACACTAGTCTAAAGCGATAATATCAACAGTGAAACATGAACAATATTGAATTGTCCGTGTTAACAAATAACACTTTATAAATTTTATCCACGTTATGGATTATTAATATATTTCTTATGACTTAATCACATTATCTTTACTTAATACTTCCCCGAATATTTATTTACTTTTCATTTAGATGTTTCTTTAAATATGTTTTTTTATCAATTGTCTAAACATATATATATATAATATATATATATATATATATATATATAAATATATTCATTTTAAAAATATACATTTATTTATTTAATTAAAGTGATACTTTATTGTACACCAAAAACACAAAAAGTGGAAATTACAAATGAATGTAAAAAGAAGTACAATAGGCGGTATTATCGCTTCAAAGGCGATTTCTTGCAGACAACCATTGCAAAAATAATTTTTGCTAAAGAGATATAAAGAAGAGAACAGTGGGTTCACACACGTTTATGAATGTGAACAAACTTTATCAGCGTTTATAAGACGGAGAAACCGTTACAGAAACAATGCGCTTCATTTTAAGGCTCAAGGATAAAGCCCCTCTGTGGAAAGGACCTTGTCTGCTGAGGTCATGATTTTTACCGTACAATGAGATAAGAATTTTTAATTCTTCCTCCAACGTGTTAAATTTTGTAATCATACACGACAATTTTATTAAGTTATGGTTATTTTTCACTCCACGATAATTAAGTAATAAATTGTGATATCCAAGAACAAGTTCTTTTTGTGACAGTCTAGTAAAGTTTTATCGGCCTGTCTCAACTCATGAGAAAGAAAATTTCCCTTACGTAGTGGTTTTCTTAAGTGCATTCATTATCAGTACATGTAACAATGTATGCACATGTTCGTTTTATGCAAATGAATTGAGAAAAACCCTCTGAAAGGAAATAATCACCATTTTTAACGCAGTGAGAAAATAATGGAGAGGTTTTTGATATATTTTATTTTAACTGTTCTACTATTGCCGGGCTATAGAAATGGGGTCAGGTTGAAACGGTGTTTCTTCCTACGGTACAAGGCCAATATTCCACTAGCTCATTTCCAAGGGATGCGACATACGTGGAATTAGCCTTTACACCACGGAATTTCACTTGACATTTTATGAATCTCCACTATTCTGTTTTGTAAAAAATATTCTGTTCTATTCTGTTTTGTTCGGCAAAACATTATTAGCTGCCTTATCTTGCGAAGGGCAACGACGATAGCACTCAAGTAGTTGATAAAGACTCAACTTATTTATTTTAAGTGGAGTTTAAAAGTAAACTATTTGTTGCAAACCGGCCTGACACATTATCTAGTATTTTATTCGGTTGTTCCAGTGTTTCATCTTTCATTTTATCTTTAAACAGTAGTGACTTTTCCGAAGTGACATTTTCTGCTATATATGAAAAATCCTTAATATGAACTAAAAACAGAAATGGACCCATGATCCATACGTGGGCACACCCATTTTTAGTATTGAACCCAATGACAGATATGAGATTAAAAATCAATTTTCATCTTTTTAAAGCTTGTAATAACTACGAAATAAAAAAATATAGTTTTGTAAAACAATTAAAGACAATAAAACATTTTTTTCATAAACCTAAATTTAAACCGGAGCGACACATCAATTTAAAGACTTGAAACGACCTTCTCTTAGGCATTTATAAATGATCTCGAATGATGACTGAAATAAAAAATCTACATCTTTTTCTCGACGATGAGACTATGGTCAAGAGTGATTGTCCATAATTATATTCATACTTATCTGTAGAGGATCGCGTCTCAATTGTTAAAATAAAATTAATAGAAAGCATCATGTGCGAAGAATATACATCTTTTCTGAAAACTTACCTTGCACCTGTCTTTATAGAATGAAGAAATACATATAAAAGTGGGTGGTGTTTTTAATATAGAACAAGCTTATGTATTTAAATAAAATAACTAACGGAAATGTCAACACCAGAGTATTAATATAGAGTATTATAGTATTATTTCTTAAGTATTTTTTTTTTCAGGATTAACGAGCTATGCGGTGTTTACTGCCACGCTCGGTGTATTATCGTTAAGCAAGACCTGGTTGAGTCCAATGACTAAGTGATGTCAAATGTAGCTGAAATATAATAATGCCTAATTATGCTATTTAAAATATCAGTCTGCCCTCTGAGAATAAAATCACATTTAAATACTGTAAAATTATTTTATTGTGTAAGATCTTGAATATTTAAATACTGCATATTAGTCAAACCATATGAACAGCGCCTTAAAACAAAAATTATTTGTCAAATTGTAGCAATATTAGCTCATATTTAATCACGGCCGCGATCACCTGGAATAGCGAAACATACCAAAGAAATATTGATTAATCATTATAATAATTATTATTATTGTTTTCTTATTTTTTTAAAACAAATCAAAACAATCTGTATATAAGCAAAATTTCTCAATTGACGCTCGTAATTTTGTAATTTTGGTTACTATTAGATGAATCTATATGATGAGTCACAGGTACAAATGAAATGTAAGGAAACTTACAGAAATTAATATCGAAGTAAAGGTAGTGCAGGAAATATATTATGTCCACATCAAATACGAAATCGGGGACATTCATTATTGTAGAGTAAGAATGGAAATCGATAAAATGTAAAGATGATTTTCGAATCACTGGCTGATTCTTGCTATCAAGGCAAATTTAATAATTTTTTTTTTTTGAGAAATAAACGAAAACTTTCGGAGCTGCGTAATTAAGTATTTTATCGGATATATAAGAGCACTCACAAACTTACTACGAACGAAATACATACATGTATAATAGCTGCTACTTAAATTACCTAACTTTACTAACCTATTGAAACATTATATTTCGTCACTTATTATCACCGAAATGATATATTCCCTGTCCTAAAAAAGAAAGTTATAAAGGCCTAAGGTAAAGTTAAGACAGTAAAATCTACCAACCGAGATGATGTTCACATAGACACATCGAGCACCAAAACTTCGGGGCCCTCGTAAGCTTCTTAAATTTGATGTACAAAAACAACTGGCTGACGACTTTCATTACACTCTCTGCGAATGCCAACCCAAAAAAACTTAAATATTTTCCAACAATTAGCCTTATGAGCCAAGTTCTAAAATTGTTTTTAAATATCACAAATAGATAAAACCTAAATGTGATGAACCACTTTGAGTCAGTATGTGTAGTTTTCGAATAGGCACAAGTTTTAGTCAAAAATGAATGCACAACGAGATGTTTTAGTTTATTTTCCTTCGTTCATCACAAAACTTTCAATCGAGTATTAGATGACCGCCTTATTTTGGAATTTGGATGTTACCGTCATATATTGCTAAGACTTGCGCATCATCCAGAACTACTGGAATCAACGCGTGTTGAAATTCACGCAGCCGAAATAAAAACGGGAGTTCTTTTTAAATTTTTACGCTGGAAAAATAATAGCTGAAGCCGTCGAGATCTACAGAATATGGAGTCAATAGATGCAATATCAATAACTTCAGTTGATGGATGGATACAGTTGTGGTAGCATCGTCTCCTAAAGATGTACTAAAACTTGTCACGCGAGTAAATGAGTACATGACTGGTCTGTGTGTTAAAATACGCAAGACTTTGCTATATCTAAACATAGTTTTGATCATAACAGCCGGCGAAGAAATAGAGTTGTGAACAAGACATGAAGACCCAAATCGAAGCAGTTCGGTGTACTTTTAACAAAACGTGAATACTACTATGCAACCAAAAATTAAGAGAAAAACTTAGACCCATGGGGTATAAAATGAAGAACTGAGTCGCATCACTAAAAAAGTAAACTAACTTTTACAGCCGTCAAGATGATAAGTTTGGTATCTTGAGCATAAATTCAGGCTCGTTAATATAAGTAACTTCTGCAACATTGTGATGGGAAAAGTTCCAGGAGAATGTGGTATCGATCACAGTAGAGAAGTGTGGTATCGACACAAGAAGTTCATTGTTGCTTATCATCCGAGTTATTTCGTATTGAAAATAATAGGAAAAGTATACGAAGTTGTCCACCAATCTCCGCTAGTCAGAGAGGCATACGAAGAGGATATACATTAAATATCTGGTTCTAAATGTGTTTTATGTGTTTTAGGTGTGCTACATACCTGCAACAAATTTTTCCTTGTCAATGAAAAGAGTCCCATGCCGCTTAAGGCAATGTTATCATACGTTAACTGGTTTGTCAGTCTATTAATCTGAAATATAGTTAATGAGTAAGAATATTTGTAGGCAATGTGCGAGATTGTTAACTATAGTTTAGACTCCAAGTTGCGCAGTTATGTTTGAAATATCTTTAATTAAGTTTTCTTGCCGGTTTTAAAAAACTTGAACAACTGTCGCGGCAAGATTTACTCGTAAGTTTAGAAAAGAATTATTACCTGTACAGTAACAGGTAATAATTTCACGCTATAATAGATAGTTTCAATTATATAAATATGTTGTTCTATTCTTTTACCTCAATATTATAGGTATTACGTGAACATTGGCGCAAAAATGGTAAGACGTGTTGCGATTGCACACTTATTTCCGAAGCGGCCAAGACAACACTGCAAGCTCTAAACAGCAGCCATGTGAGAGAAGTTACATAATACAAGCGACTAATCCAATCCGTGTTCGTCATCCTAGGAATAAATTGAAATCAACTTGTATTTAAATTATCATGTAATTTAAATGTGCTGTATGGTTCACACAAATGACTGTTAAGCTTTCAAACTACGTCAACAACGTTAAAGCTTTCTAAAAAAAAAGAAAAAAGAACGTGGTAAAATGTAACCAATTTATGTATTTTTATGTGAACCCTGATTGCTCAGTGTCCGGGCGCTCGCCTTTAATTCAATGTACTCGAGCAACCTGAATTCGATCCCCGGTGCCGGCACCAATGAAATTGTTAATTTAAGTGCCGAATTATCACGTGCTCAGCAGTGAAGGAAAACATCGTGAGGAAACCTGCATATTTTCAAAATTACTAACAAATATAGGTATATATATTTCGAAGATATGTCAAGTCTGCCGATCCACAGTGGAACCGCGTGGTGGACTATGTCCTGATACCCTCTGTACAGAAGAAGCCTTTGCCCAGCAGTGGGACATGTATAGACTGATACTTTATTTATATTTTTACGGGTTTTAGCTCTGATTTCAGTTAGAAAACATATCATTCTGTCTCGTGCCCAGGATCATGGTAAAAAGTTCTTCAAAAGTCAGGAATAGAAATAAAAATTATTATATAAGAAAGTGTAACAAATTAAACGAGTAAGATCAATAAATCATACCTGATGCCTAAATAAAGTTGTAAGCAGATAAAGTACAAGTTATTTATGTTAGATAAGAGGATTAATGGACCTAGGTGTTTATCAAGTGCCCGTACTAAATCAGCCTGATGTACGTATGCTTTTCGAAGTTTTCGCCAAAGGTGTTTGTGCCTATAATTATGACTATTTACCTGAAAGAAGCTCCTTTTAAATTAGTAAATGGTATGTGATATACAGTAAAAATATTTTGTTCATTTCCATTTCCATTGTGACTTACGTGTTTAAAGGGCTCATTTCTTCCCGTAATCAAACTCTTTGTGTATTCATTTAATCTGCAGTATCGCGAAGAAAGGCCCATACTAATCAATATTATTAGCAAATCTTGCAGGTTCCATAAAATGGTTGCAACTTTACTCAGAACGAATACTGGAATAGCTATCCAGAACCGATACTCCTCTGTGAAAGGAATGCACAGCTTAGATCAATATTGATTATTGCAAATGTATTACAATTTTTATAGAATGGCCCGCAAACAATTATCAATGATACCTTTTTTATTTTTAATAGATACAAAGACTATCTAAATATTAAACAGTCTTGTTAACTTACATAAACCCGAATTAGTCTAAGGCAACTCTTTGTGTTCGTCAAATGGTGTATTAATGGCCCTTATAGAATAGAAATTAAAATTTATCAATTGTGTCTTTCTTATAATTAGTACTCCTTTTATCCAAAAAAATCTGTACTAACATAACATAATTTACTTTATTTATGAACTTAAAAGTAAATAATAATACAAGTGAAGTCTATAGCGTGCAAATGTGTGGGCATTACAAACGCTTTTAAATCAATATACTAGTACAGGATATAAACTTACGTGAAAGTATCAGAAACCCATGAGACCGTAATATATACATTCTAAAGCATTCACTTGGTGAACAATTCAAACCAGTTGCAGACATTATGCTCATGACGTGCTCCGCTGTAAATCACCATTTTAAATAATGACAACGCCTCACAAGTTGTCTAGCTTATTTCATTGTCCCGATTTCTTATCTCATTTTATGGATCTTATTATCCTTTAAGGAACTTTTAAATAGGTACGTAATATATTATTTGTACGTGGAGAAAACATGAGGCATCTGTAGTTCTTAGAGTGCATGTATTTATCTCTCCTGCCGTTATTTGAACATTATATTAAATTGTTTAAAACCAGATCAACTTTTGATCAATAAGACAAGCAAATATAACACGAATAATAGGACCAGAATGACACTGACCACATTGGTCGCCACTGTGGTAGGTTCAGGCTACAGTCCTCGCTGTTGCACGAATGGGCAGTTCCGTTCGGGGAAGTACCACGGCTTCAAAGTAGACCGGCGTGAAGTAGAAGTTCTGCGTTTCCCCTGGTGAGTGAAGTAACCGGAGCCCATTTCATTATATGGTAACGCATCTGCAACCTCACGAGTGTTGCAAATGTCCATTGGCGGTGATTATCACTTGACGACAGCTGAACTGCCACCTCGGTTGCCATCTTCTCGCAGAAAGAAAGAAAAACCACACCTAAGCTGAGCTATGTTACTTACCGCATGCACAAACAAGAACGAATTTATAAACTAAGTTGACCCTTCGTTTGATGTGTTTGTCAGGTACAACGTATGATCTTGAGATTTTTTCAGCTCTCAACCAAAACAGAGAAACATTTTTCCATGCAGTACTGAACTTCCATATAAGGATTAAAGACACTAAACTGTTTGCGTAAAATATAGATCCCGATAATCGATAGATCAAGCTTCCTAGAAAACAAGGTCATGTTAAAAACACTGCACACGACACCATAAATGTATGGTAGATTATATCTAATAAAGATTGGCTGTTGATCTTTTGATGTATGAAAGAATTGAGTGGATGAAAGAACTAAAAATGTAAAAAAAATTACATGCCAAATATGAATATTTATAAGTACATCATACAATATTTGCATTCTTAATTACCTGTAGAACTTAACGCTCTAAATAGCTTCCAAATAGCAAACCCTTCTAATAAAGTCAATGATAGAATCAAAGTAAGCGACCAAATTACAGGCAATTTTGCATTTTGAAATGGAATCCCAATCCATCTTGAATGTTTCATCATATCGTTAAAACTGTCAAGAAAATCCTGCAAAAATTGTGATCGAATTTATATGAATTTTATATAACATATGTACTGGCATAGAGAGGTAAGTATGTTCTTGTACATGCAACTCTAGGCAACTTACACACTGTTTAAGAATTTGATTGCTGTTAACATCATTTTTCACCATGGTATATTAATAAATTCCTTCCAATTTCCTTTCAATTCCATGTTTCGAAATTGTTGGATCATTTATGATATTGTGTTGTTATGGAAGTTGCAATAGTAATGGGTGTCACTCCACTGCTATAGCCTTCAATAATATTTTGATAGTAAATTCCACCGTTTGAGTGCCCATTAAACGTGACAAACAAAGAAATACTTACATTATATCATCTTAATATACACTATTAGCGAAGGGCTTTTACCACTGTAATTTATTTAGTAGACTAACTACTAGAATGATCAACTTAGATACTTTCATATCTTTTATTAAACTTTTAAAGCATCATATATGTATTTACTTACATTACTATTCACTGCGTTACTTAAAATAAACACACAGTAAACTAAGGGCTTTTTGATGCGTAGCAACAAATCTCCCACACCAGTGGACTGCCTACCTAAACTAAACTAAACTAGAACCAACAGTATTTTGGGATTTGTCGGGTAGTAAGGTGCTCAAATAAGTCAGCAGAAGATAATTCGAAAATCTATTCATTAAACTTCCCATGCTGGCCCAAATGATCAAATTGATTATAAATAATTTCTTCATTTTATAAACAAAATATAAACGCAAATTTTCTCCCATCTTTTATATCATCGCATTTGCAAAACACGAGTCGATCAGAGTTCCCTTTTTCAGACCAAAAGAAAATTGTGTTACCAAGCGTGATACGAATATAAATTTCATAAACAATTGCCACTTTAAATTCTGTGGCTGTTTCAATGTTATCGCAACAAATAAAATATTTACACGGACCCTTGTCAAAATTACAATACCTCACTTGGTTCGCATTTTTCTAATGATACATATTATGCATATGCTAAGACAGCTTTTTATTTATATTAATACGATTTAATACTTTTATAAATACACGTCTAAAATACTCGTATAAACAAGCGGACACGACACAAGTTTCAAAAAAAAACAGAAAGTGTTTTGAAATTAAATATAACAAACTGTGGTAGGACTACGCAACAACTCCAGTTGTTGCACGAATTGACAGGCTCGTTCGGGGAAGTACCAGGGCCTCATAATATTATGATAATACCGACCTGAAGTGGATGTATTATTATTATTATATTCTTTCGTGTTTCGTTTGGTGAGTGAGTTAGCCGGGGGTGAAAATTTTAATAATAGGCGCCGCATCAACAATACTTCAGGTGTACATGTCTATGGACGGCGGCGGTTTTAATGTTTTTCTACAATTTTTAATCTATCCACCCAAGTTAATAAACTCCAAACAAGTGCCAGAACTATCACCCATCTTTTGCAGTATGGTAAAGTAATGAGTCATTTCCCATATGCACGTACTAGAGTGTACGATATTATATGGGTGACTTCAAAAAATTTCTTATTGATTATCTTAGAAACCAGAATACACGTAAAATGAGCAATTTATGTAGTGGTAAAATAATCAATCAATCAATTGAATCCATACTTTATTTGACAATATTTGCTTACTTTAGTAAACACAATAGACTAGTACATTATTATTCGAACAAAGGCTTCAATATTACCAAATGCAATACATTTTTCTAACAAGTTTAAAATATCTTAAAATCATCTATTATACAAACTTACTTAAAATTCAAAGAAACGTTTGCACAACTCAAAACTTTCCAATTAAGTCGCCATTCAGTTGGAGCAGCACTAGCTCGTAAGTAATAATTGTGCCTGCCACCTGAAATTCAAGGCCAAAGTAAAAAATCTTTTTTATAAAAAATTTACGGCTTTACAGCGTAAAAATCTAAATTTAGAACTCATTTAACAGTGTCAACATTAAGTCATTGAAATGATTACAACATTGTACGACTCACAACGCACAGTGTGTGAGAGTGATTTAATGTCGATATGTGGGCCAAACTGGAGTACAGTTCCGCTACATAAAATCATTCTTACATGTATACTCTAAGCTAGACGATATAGATGTAGATATAATGTGGCTTACATTATTGTCAATGATGAAATAACTAGAGAAATTTATTTATCAGATCTATTTTTTTGCAATTGATTCAATTTAATTGTGTAGCGCCGTCCCTTTCCGTTGTTATTGAACTCATAACCGATTATAAGTTATTAAAGAAAGTCGATGGATATTTCTGATTATTCTCTTCTAAAAATGGTTGTCACTATTTTTTTAAACCCTTTTATCTTTATATTTATTATGCCGTTTATTCTCTTGTATTCCACATATGTCGTGCACTTTTGAATTTTCCAAATATATCACATTACTTACAGATAGAACAAATTCTCTGGTCACATTGAAAAAGTTAAGCCCACTTAGGGCCACCACATCGCCTTGAACTTGATTAATAAACCTCTCTACCTATAAAGATTAATATCATGAATAAATAATTGTAATAGCCTCCTTCCTATTATAGTGTTAATTAAAAACTAAAACATATGTTAAGGACATTTTTTTTTCTTAAGCCATTGCATCCAACCTTCGTGTGCGGATGTAAATTTGTATTTTGTTTTACTCGCCAAAGTATTTTAGGAGTCAGGTTAACGATATAAATAGGAAACTTACGGAGAAATATTCATTTTCATCCATACATAAAATATCGGTGTAAAAACTAGGAATAGGTTGCCTATATTTAGGGTTCCGTACTTTAAAAGGTAAAAAAGGACTCTCTTGTACGTCTGTCTGTTCGTGTATCACCACTTTGTTATCTTCTACGGACTACTTTGTTCTTGCGTAGGTTGCAGCAGTAATACTTCAACGGATAGTGTGAATGGTACCCACGGATATCTTAGTCCTTTCTGCTTTATCCAATACTCTCTCACGCCTTTTGACTTCACTAGACCACTTTTGAATAGTAGATAATGAAGAAGCAGAATCTTGGTAAACAGTCACCATTTCTAAGGATTTTATCACAGCGCGTCATCGTAGTTGCCTTTTCGTAAAAGTATCTTGAATATTATTGGTGACAATTAAATTAAATTTTATATTAATACCTTAAAAGAGTGTCTTTAACTGAAGAGAAAATTAACTACCCCCATCATTAGTATATCACCCCGATACCGAGAATACATTGAACGCGCAATACGTATGTATAAGGCACTCTGTAATCTGTAGCACTATGATGTCCAATACTTATTTGAAATCTTTAGTGGGGACAAGAAAGGACAGAATCCAATCGGGACCTAGCCATCGAGGTGAGGTACGCTTCATCACGGCCTTACAAACAATAATGGTTAATTTAATAACTCCTCATCAGAGACGATTGGGCATTGGAGTTTTAATCATTTCGAGTCCAATGTACCGTCGATCTCCTCTTGGAGATGTCAGGTATCCATAACGTACTTTCGTACGTCGAAATTACAACTATATTGAAAATACGCTGCTATATACAGGACCGAATCAAGACTCGCCTCCGAACAGAAGACCGTAGTTGGGACTGTGTACAAATATGGTGCGGTGGTGAGCGACGCGGTGTTGACTTCGGCTGCACACAGAGACACCAAAACGAGCCGCAGCAGAACGAACAGCAGCGCGATTATGTAGAAAACGCTGTGATAGTAACCATTTACGGGTCTGAAAGAAGAATGAACCTTCGAATGGCGTAGCTGCTATGGAGAAGCTGTTAGAACAGCGGTTCAAAACACATTTAGTTACAAATTGTCATTTTTGCACACATGAAACACACAGAAGATCTCATCATAAATTAAGGCCAATTTTAAAATAAAATGGTTAATGTCTGGATCTCCAAAAATGTTGACTTATCTCTATATAAAAGATTTTTTGAACCTAACTAATAGGAACGCACAAAGTTCCCTGTATAATTAATGACAAAGCGAAGCGCTTGGTTGGTGCGCAGAAAAAAAGTATAAAATAAGATTGTGTCGAAGTTAAAGTAAACTTCGATATTATTTTAATTTTTAAAAAAAAATCTAATCCTTTCTAGAAAATATTTCCGTAAAAGCATCTTACCCGATAGAATAATGAGAGCACGATGTGCCGATCAGCCTTCTAGAGATGCTTACACCATTCCTTGCAGAGACAGTGTCTTATTAAATATGTTGTTAAAAATATATTAATGATTATTACTTATTTGCTCTGTATAATGCAGTGAAATTACATTGAATGATACAATATTACGAAGCACACAAACGAAGCCTAATTGGAATTAGAAAATTTAATAGTCTTTTTGTACATTTTTTTATTTTATTCGGAATAAGTTTCATGTTTTAGGTTAAAAAAGATAATTATGTGCTGATTCAAACGTTAAGAACTAATAAATGACGTTAATGTATCTTATCGCACAAAAGCACCTGCGGTGCTTAAAAATTTTATATCAAGAAAGAAAATCTTAAATACTCACGAAAGCAGGTAATAAATATGAAAACATACAAAGAACAAGTTATTAGTAAAAGAAGAAAATATTAGGCCGTTGATAACTTCGTCAAATGAACGTACGATATCAGTAATACGATTATAATCTTCACGTAAACGCTTCCAATAAGATGATGGTAGGTTCTGAAAATTTGTATTAAAAGCTACTTAATATACATTTATATATAAAAAAACCTTATTCTATTCATCTATTTATATAAAATTAGTATACATATATGTGAAGTCATCAAAAACTGTACATCCACAATATAAAATCCTTTGCTGTAATCATAAATGTGAAATGCAAGAAGTGTTCAATGCTATGTTCAACTTTTAGTGACTGTTAGCAAAATCCAGTATATGCCGTGGGTGCAAAAGATAACCAAATAAAAAAAATATTTGAATTTTTTACGTGAAAAGTTGGCAAGCGAGAAGGGCGGATCACCTGATGTTAAGTGATAACCGCCCATCGATATCCTTAACACCTAACAGTTTGCAGATGCATTACCAATCATGAAAAATTTGGCCCCGGTTACCTCACTTACCAGAAACGTGTATGTATAATACTTTCTCTTCACGCCTGTCTTAAGTAAACCCGTGGCACTTTTCCGGATAAGCCGGCCTATAAGTGCAAAAACAGAAGCTGGTGTTTATTAACCCTACCGCAGCGTAATATAATTATTTTATCAATATGACATGATATCTATATAACGAAAATCAACATTTTAAACACATCTCTAACATGATCTCTATAAGGATTAGTATGAAATTTGTCTTCTCCAAGAAAATTCATAGCTCACCTTTCCTCCAGAAGCGATTATTTTTTTATTAACTTGTTTAATGATTGACGTTAAGTATAGGCTTATGCAAGCGATAAATATATCTGGATAAGACCAAATCAACGCTGCCATTATGTTCAGAGGCTGCAAATCACATTAATTAAGTACATTTAATTACTGTTTTTTTACGCAAACATTGTGAAATTGTGATTTTTTTTTAAAGTAATAACGCGAAAGAATCCGTTAAATAGTTTATATCACAACGTTAATTACTTATAAACTGAAAAAATGCAAAGATCAGTAATCTAATGTATATGCAATAATAACGTAAAGTCCTTCTCGCTTTAATCTTTGCTCGCTTTTAATCAAACATACCCGTGAAACCTAAGATAAAATCGCCGGCCCTGATGAAATTGTTACCCGCTAGACGAGGTTTATACCTTTTAGTTTACTGTAAATCAACACAAACTACTCTTATTTTCAGGTATTTCCTCAGGTTTCACGTCTATTAAAAATAATTATGCAATTATATGATGAATTTATTTAAAATATTGCTGAACACAGGTCCCCATAGACCGTTAAGAAGCACGATCCCGAGCAAACTGCATCCATCTTCCTGCGGTCTGTGGGAGACTATGTTCGGCAGCGGTCTCAAACAAGCTGAAATGATGATAATTATTAAAAACAAGCGACCCGCCCCAGCTTTGCACGGGTGCATTGTATTATACATATAAACCTTTCTCTTGAATTAATCTATCTAGTAAAAAAACCGTATCAAGATCCGTTGCGTAGTTTTAAAGATCTAAGCATGCATAGGAACAGACAGACAGAGGGATGACTTTGTTTTATACTATGTAGTGATGCACAGCAAAGAGACGTTTACATTTCAGGTGACATTTTACCACAGACAATTTACATTTTACCAGAGATAATTTGTTTTTGAGTAATGTTACCATCGTATAAATAATGACAAATGTTGACATTAATATTTATACGATACTAACGTCACACAATTGTTTTACCTTTCCGGAACTCCTTCACTAACACTTTATGGTATGGTCTTAAAATTCAAATTGACTTTGAAGTATTATTAAGAATCTTTTGTATGGGAATATAGAAGTGTTGTTTTTAGACTTTTTAAGGCAATTTTCTAATTTTTTCTCCGTAAGAATCATCCTCGTACTTCAAAGAATATTATGAAAAAAGAATTAGTGGAATCGGTTCAGCTATTCTCGAGATTTTCACTTCTCAACACACTCATCGATTCATTTTTATGTATAGAGATTAGGCAACTGGTACAAACTTATTAAGGGCTGTGTGATCTGAATCGTGAAATATTAAACTAACAATCAAAAAACCGATGGTAAAATTGTTGTCCGGAAATTGAAACTCAAAAAGCCATCTATAGGTAAGGTGACAGTAGATTTTAACAACATCCGTTGAGTTAGGGTAACATTCGTTGATTGTTGCAAGTCTTTCAATAACGTGTGACACGATGTGAACTGTAACAGAGAAAATATACATGGTTAGTCTCGTTTATACCAGAAGCTCATATTTAAAAAAAAAAAACCTTGGCCTTATTACAGTGAGATAGAAATGGTTTGTGTTGTAAGGACGTTTCACATACAAACATTTCACATCGACAAACACTCATGATACTTATGCATATGAAAAGGATTGAAGACAAGTAGGCGGTCGATAAAAAACCTGAGCAACACCACTAACAACATGAATCACATATATAATACCACGTCATATTATAATAAGAAGGATAATGGAGTTTCCTAAAAAGAAATTCTAATAAAACTAATTAACGTATACTTATGAAGACACAGATTTGCGCGGTTACCGCGAAGAGGTACCCTTTGTTGTAACTTCGTCTATTGAAGGCACCCCTTCCAGTGCTACTGATTTGATCTGAATTCTTGGCATTGAGATATACAGCGGCGTTAACTTCGCGGTCGTTTGGAAGAAAAAGTCAAGCAGGCTTCTAAAAAGTTCGTTGTCGTGAATAGAGCGAGACAGTAGTTTCTGCCGGCCTATCGCTTACAGATAAGTAGCTATGAAGCAAGATTCAGCCGCATACGGAATTCCGTTCTCAACTCTGGGTTGGAGCACCAAAATACCAGCTCCTTCTATTTGATCACACCCCACGAAGAGCTGTTCAAATCGTCGATCGCCACGCCTTTTCGCCTTGCGAAGAGATGGTGCATCCCTTTGCATTTTCTATCGAATATATCGAGGCGACTGTTCTGAGGAATTATTCGGATTAATACTGGCTACCGAATTTCACCATCGCACATCTCGTCAAACCGCCAATTAACATTACACTGCCTTGATGGTTGGCAGTCCACCACTGTACGTTTTTCTCGCGATTTTCAAAATAACCGCAACGCAATTGTGACTCCCCCCGTGTCACAATTATCGGAGGAGTCACCGGCGGTGGTGCTCGCTTAACATCAGGTGACCCGCCTGCTTGTTTTTGCCTACTTTTTCTATCAAAAAAAAAACTTAAAAACATACAAGTGTGGCCGTGTTTATTTCAGTAGTAGAATGATTCTACTAAGTTGCTTAAAATTACTATAAACAAGGTCTGACCGAACAGAAAACCAGCGTGAAGTGAAAGTACTATAATACTGCGTTTCGTCTGGTGAGTGATGTGGCCACTTTATGAAAAGGTGGCAACGCATCTACAACTTGTTGTTGCAGATGCTGTTAAACGGGTGTTGCAAATGTTAAAAATGGGGTGACGGTTACCACTTAATATCAAATGAACCGTCCCCGTCAGCTCGCTTGCCATCTTTTTACATAAAAATGATCGTTTTATGGACTCTGAATTTTAATTTAGAATCTTACCCACACACAACCCTAAAAACGCCACCGAAATGGCTACGCACTTCAGTATAACATTTGGGTCTGAATATTCATCGATCCTCGAATTTCTTAACTTGACGATCAAAGCGGGCCATTTGCTCGAGATCCTAAAGAAGCTTATGCAAGTCGCGCTCATGGAGGCGTAAAAACTGGCAAATACTGAAAATAAGCGCATTTTCATTACTTTGCATTTTTACTTATTTTGAAAAAAATCAAAATATTAAGTACGCAAATATATGTGTGTCACTCATAATATCATATTTTTATACTTACGTATTCTTGTTATGGATACACGCTTGGTTATTAACGAATAAAAGCATAATACTGTGATTATCAACTGAGGCAAACAAAGAATTAGGCAATATAAATATTTCCATGACAAAAATGAAAATCTGAAATAAGATGAAAGATTCATAAAAAAATAATTTTCATACCAGTTTCATAATATGAACAAAATTACAAATAGTAAAGCTTTTACCGAAGCATTGTTGCTTCTTTTTTTAAAAGTCCCGTTACAGGAAATAATCCCAATAATTGTCCAGTCACATAAATAATTTTCATGGAATCTTGAAACACGACAACTTGACTTACATTTTCTTTTTCTATGGAAAATATAGGTTTATTTAATGATAACAACTCGATCTTAAATAAATTTAATGCTTAGGCCGTCCATTTTGGACTTAACTATAAAAATTTACATGTCATTAAGCAATTAATGTGGACCGATTTTGGAGATAACAAATAGTACTCAAATTACTATAAATTAGCTGTTAAGTATATGACTAATAATTATTCTCCTTCAGATTTAACTTACATAAGGAATTCTTGATACTAATCGTGATCTCCGAGTGTAGCCGTAAACACCAGAATTACCATGTACAGTGTACGTATGTATATACATACAAACGTACACTCATTCATGTATGTACACATATGTGTACACTTGTTCAGTAGGTTTATTAATATTAATAATTTAAAGTAAAAAGTAAAGCGTATACATGTCCCACTGCTGGGCAAAGGCCTCCTCTATACAGAGGGTATCAGGGCATAGTCCACCACGCGGCCCCACTGCGGATTGGCGGGCTTCACATATCTTCGAAATATTTTTTTTTTGTTATTATTTCGAAAATGTGCAAGTTTCCTCACGATGTTTTCCTTCAAAGCGGAGCACGTGATAAGACAGCACTTAAAGTTAAAAACTTCATTGGTGCCGGCACCGGGGATCGAACTCAGGTTGCTCGAGTATATTGAATTAAAGGCGAGCGCCCGGACACTGAGCTATCACGTCTCTTTATTAATAATTTAAAAATGTTTAATTATTACCTTCACTAGGGGGTTCACTATATTTTTCTTGCAACTCTGATACTGAAGAACTCTCACTATGAAATGAAAATATATCTTGAATATCACTTATATGAATTGTTTGAAAAAGCATATATCAATTGTTTGATAAAGCTTTTCGGCACTACGGGATTAAAACCTGTGCATAACATGCACATTTAAAACGTAATTTTGAAATATATGTATCATTTACGCCCGGTTTCTGAAACACTGTTCTATATTGATCAGAACGATCACCTTTATGATCAGAATGATCAATTCAAAGAGTTTAACAATCCTTTTGGCAACTCAAATAACACTTGAAAAGCTAATAAGTTGACTTCTACGTTGATCAGTGTTTCAGAAACCGGGCATTAATGGTGCAAATACTAAAATGAGTAGGGCAAAACTGGATATTACCCAGACTTATCGATGAAATTGTTCCGCTGGTGATTAAAACATTCCAAGCGTTTATACAACTGCGGTATTGCGCGTTCTGCAATAAAATATGGAAAATACTAGTATATAAAATATTTCCGAATGTGCTGCCTCTAATTACGATAAAATTATCAGTATTCACTAATCAAATTATATTAATAATTTCAAATTCATGTAAGAGCTCGAGTAATTCGAATAAGTAGAATATTCGAGCTCTCAGTTTTAATTAACTTTACATTTTCATTACATTAATAAAGTAAAAATGTAACTTTCAAAAATACTTACGATGTATAATAGCATCCTTTACTATAATATTAATCGGGGAAAGTCGATCCATTTTAAAGGATTAACGTTTTTATTTTTCAATTAAAAACTAATGCGACTGCTTTACTTCGAGTACCCTTAGTATTTGGGCCGTTAATGTTAACCCGATAAATATTACATTAACTTCGCTCATACCATGAAGGCACATTTACGGTGAATTGATATTTACTTTCCACTTAACATAAGTATATGGTTTAGCTGATATGAATATTTAAAACGAGTAGTTTAATAGTTACATGTGACATGGAAAAGTTTCTGTCCCCGGTTCAAACATAACAAGAATAAAATACCATACAAATAAAACGATTAATTTTTTATACTTCTGCGTTTCGTCTGGTGAGTAATGTAGCCGGGGCACATTTTTATTAAAATTTGGCAACGCATCTGCAAGCCTACGGGTATTTCAATTGTCAATGGATGCTGGTTATCACTAAAACATCTAGTAAAAAGAAATGTTTGCCACCTTGTCACGTAAAAAAATAAAAAAAGAATTAAAGTTCGCGTCTCTTCAAAACCATCTTCGTTTCTATTTGTTATACACCTCTGACTATCCGACATTAGCCCCGTTAAAAACTTACCTAGGTCGCTTAAAACCTTGTGAAAAATGTCTATCTAATTGTCGGTTGTTAGGATATTTAAATTTGAAGTATCCTTTGCTTGCGAGTATGCTTTTGCTACGTAAATTTTGGGCAAAATAAAGCAGCCTGATTTTGTTTGTTAGCTTTAAAGGTCACTTAGCAAGTTGGAATTATTCGGTACACTTATAAAGTATTTCAGCAAACCTGGAAGTTTGTTAACCACTCACCTTTACCACGCTTACTTATATAAATTATTGCAATGAATAGTACACGTAGCAAATGTTTTTTTTTTTTTACTAAATTATATTGTCTATTTTTAATTATTTGAAATTTTTTTATCCATTGAATGTGGTAGGGCTGCTAAGATTCTAAGTTTTATAATTAGTGTCGAGATGAGTACTAAAAATAAAATTTAAAATAGGATAAATCCAAAAGTTTGAATTCAACGCAGGATACAGAGAGTCAATTGATATCTAGTTTTTAAGCATATTGACATTAGAAATTATTAGAATAAAATGTTTCACATTAAAAAATAATAACGCCTTAAGGAATGTCTTCTAACAAGAAGCTCAAGTAGCAATAAATTAGAAGACGAACCAATGTTATTTCCACAGAACGCCGGTGGGAAAGATGATTTAATTTATTTGAATTAATTTCCTACTGCCATTGCATAATTTTGTTAGATTTATGGCCCACCTTAAGAACGCTGACTTGAAATTTCTCATTGCCCATAATACAGTCGTTCTTAAGGAGATCTATGTTCCCTATTATAAATTGAAACAAGTATATTTTTTTAGTTGATTATTAATCATCACAGACGATTGATATGGTATAAAATGAGTGTCAAAAACATAATTTTGACAATCCAATTAGGTTAGGTGGGGCCACGTAGCAGCCTCGGCTGTTGAACGTCCCATACGAGCCGCGGCTCAGCAGGCTCGGCCGCGTAAGTACCATGACCTCACAGAAGACCGGTGTGAAGTGGAAGCGTTCTGCGACATCGTGAGTGATTGAAGCCATCCAGCCGAAGTCCGCCGAAGCCACTCCGCCTAACGTCGAGGTATTAACTCCGTGAAGCGTCGAGCAGCCTAGGCCACCTTGTCCGGAACGTGTGCGCCGTACACGCCTCGCCGAGACCACGTGCCCCCGCGACAGCGAGACTACGTGTGCGACCTCGCACTGTGTCCCCCCTTTCCTTGGAAAGGGGCAGGCAGTGCGCGCGCTTGGAAGCGCGACGAATCCCGCCTTACACTGCGGCCTTGATACCTCTCCCCGCTCGCTGGGCGCTTCGCTGGGCCTCCCCTAGGGGTCTCACCCGGCTAAGTGGCCCGCGCTGAGGGGAGCAAGGTACATCGCTCGCCTGGGGATCGATTCCGCCCGCAACACGGGCTGTGACGGAGCCGCGAACGATGGAGGGCATATCGCCCCCCAAACCTCGCAGGAGAACGCGCACACCTGTTGCCATGGACCAACAGGACGTCGAGGAAGCTGAGCTCCCAAGACAGCTGTTGTGTCCTCAGCCACAGCGCTACCAAGTAGCCGAAGAAAACCTATCGTTTAGCGAAGAAGAATACCGCAGAAGCGCCGCAAGCGTCTCAGAGGTGGCGGAAGTCAAGGCCGACGGTGGTGCGTCTAAGTACGTATCCACCCCGGCCAAGACGTACCACCCCAAGAAGACCCGCAGGCGACATACGCCGCCCGAAACCGACGCATCGCTACTAGAAAAGCGGCAATGCGTCGAAGAAATGGACACCGAACTGCAAGACGACCATTATGAAAATGATCACAGGACTACCAACACAACTCGATACTCACAGCCGCCAAGATCGCCCTCGTACGATTCAGTACAAGCGCCATCCGAGCGCATGGAAACAGTACGAGAAAGTACATCCTATGCAGCCATAATACGATCACCTGTGCAGCCAACACCGCCAACACCGTCGACATCTGCTCAGACGGAGGAGCAAACACCTGCAGCTCCCAAAGAAGACACCACCAAAAAGGGATATCCTCCTATTATCGTCGAAAAACTGCCCGATTGGGCTCACCATTTTTCGGCGCTTAAAAACAAGCTCGGACACGCGCCGAACGCGCGTGCTTACGGGAAAGGCATCCGCTTCCTACCCCAATCGGGGCACGAATACCGAGTTGTACAACGACACCTAATCGCAGCCTCCAACGAAGATAGTAGCATAACTTGGTACTGTTATGCTCCGGCCAGACACCTCCCCTCAAAAGTGGGCATTCGTGGATTGCCTGAGACTACTCACCCGGAGAGCATAACTAATGCGTTACGCTACCTAGGGTTTCCGGCGACCTACACTAAATTGATACCTCCATTAAGAAATCGAACCCGATGCATATTTTTTCGTGCAGCTCGAGCACCTCAGTGATAGAGAGGCAGCTCGACTGTATGATATCAACGAGCTCCTCAACATGCCGGGCGTCCAAATTGAGGGGTGGAAGGGAAGAACAGGCCCACCCCAGTGCCACAGGTGCCAGAAATTTGGACACTCATCGGCAAACTGCCACAGACCGGTTGTCTGCGTTCGCTGCGCGGACAACCACATTGCAGCCAACTGTCCAGTGCCGCTGACTACCCCCGCACGTTGTGCTAACTGCGGACAAAGGCATCCGGCCAACGATAGGCGTTGTCCCGCGTTTCTAAGAGAGGCAAGAAAACGCGGGATAGCAATCCATCCGCCGCGGCCGACTATAAGTAATGAGAGAACGGGATGGACGACCGTTGGAAGAAACAGAGAGAGCCGAAGCGGGGGGACAGCTCCCCCCACCTCAGACTTCCCCCCTCAGCCTAACGAAGGCGAGAGCACAGTAGCAACCGCACTACAAACCCCTACCGCGGTGCGAACCACTGCGGGGGACATATATAGACAGCCTACCGAGGGCGCGCGCCCGCATTCTACAGTCGTCGCCGGCGCCGCCTCCACTGCAGCCACCCTACCAAGACCGACTACAACAGTCACTACTCTCCAGCCACCAGCCAACCCTGCCACTAGTAGAATTAGAAGCCATCGTAGAAGACGCCGCGGACGTGATGCACCCGCGGCCTCATCACAGGACGATCAAGACGATCACCAAGCCACCAATACGGGGACGGAGACGACGTTACCCTCACCGCCCCCCCCCCCCCCCCAACAAAGAAGCCGTCAAACAAACGCCGAACAAAGGTCGGAGACAGCGCCTAGTCGTCGCCCTCTTCGCCTTCAAGAAAGCCGTCCAAACAATGAAGCCCCTAGAACTGTGGAAGAATTCACAGAATCACTCCAGCAATTAATCCGCATACTGGCGGATGCACTTACAACTATCATAGCCGCAATGGCATCGGGGCAATCACCGATAAGCGCAACCCTACACACGCTGTCCATGCTACTCACCGAGCATCACGGCGCATAGCAAAACAGTAATTACCTTTAAACAGTGTTGCGCCATTTTTATGGCGACATAACAACATACCATCTGGCCATTTTGGCCCAAAATACCGGGGGCACAGAGAGGCCCCAGAGAAGAAGCCCGGGTCATGAGAAATATCTCGACACCCGCACCTGCCGGCCTTTCAAGGCCGAGTAGAAGACCCGTGTGTGTGTGTGTGTGTGAAGTGGAAGCATAATACTTTCGCGTTTCGTCTGGCGAGTGAGGTAGCCGGAGACAGATTTTCAAAAAGGTTAACGCATCTATAAACCCTCAGGTGTAGCAGATGTCCATGGACAGCGATATTCATTAAACATCAGGTAAACCGCCTGTTCACTAAACAACTTTTCACTTAAAAATAAAGCTTGAGTCGAATTAAATATGTCTAATTAAATCGTGTGATTTAAAAACGAATATTTTCTGAGGAGCATAGGCATTTTTTTTTTATTTTGCCTTCGGAAGTTGAAAACGCGCCATAGAATGATTCTAAATGATTAAAAATTGCTCTACCGTCAGTGCTCAAATGTAAGCTCGTGTTAACAGTAGCTTTCGGGTGTCTAACATCTCAATCTGTTCAATAGACCATGAATGCTGCGCAAATCCGAAACGTATGGAACGTAAGCCCTCGATAAAATTACACAAAAGTTGAAAACGCTCCACAGTGTCATGAAACCTTTAGACGACTGGAATTAATTTCATCAAAATTTACTCAACTTACAAAATGATAGGATAATCTCAATTTTTTTAAATAAATCTTTTTTTATATTCAAAATAGGCGTGATTACAGAATTGCTAAAATACACGATTTGAAGCTAAAAACTACATACAATTAAAATTTACATACATGTAAATTCAAGCATTCAATTTATACTTGTATGTTCTATAAGGAACTTATTTTAAATAAATTATTAGTTCATAAAAAAAAAAAACAATTATAAGTTCTCTCACATTTAACATATTAAGCATTTCTTAGCTGCGCGGATTATAAACACTTATGAATACATAA